CCCCCCTTTTAGACTCAACCCTGCGACAGAATGTAAGACGGCTGCCATCAACATCGTGCTAGACTAAGTCAGTAGTTTGTCTGCAAAAATAGACTTTTATTTGAACTTCTGTAGGTTTTCTGTAGGTTTCGCTGTGTACAACAAGCAACTGTCGATGCATGTGTGGAAATGTGACAATTGCAGAGTTAATCAGCCTGAACCAACCATGACCAGAGTCTCTTATATCAGCACCTAATAATGCTGCACGAAACACATCTGATTCTTAAAAGCTTTTTCATGCAGCAGAGTTTTGTCTCTTTAGTGCAGCTGCAGAATAAAAAGGCCTGTTATTGCTGGTGCTATGTTAATGAGACAAAAACAAAAAGCAAAAACATGATGACTCTAAAATGTGGCATCAGGAGCAGGTAATACAAAATTTCCGTGTAGTACCAGGTTGTGATTTTTAGTGCCACACATGAAACACTCATTGAAACACATCATTTGTGCTTCATTTGCAGAGCAGGTGGTCCCAGTGTTCTGCAAAAGGAGCGTTTCGTATTCTGTTGTAAATGCTAAAACAAAGCATTATTTTAAACAGGATGCCACACTCTGATTCAGGTGAAACATGTCCACAAAGCAGAGAATTAATTACTCCAAAAACAGAGAAGGAAGTGTGTTCTGAAGTGTCGTTGACTACAAGCATGCAGGGCTGCAAAGAAAGAGTCTGAATGAGAGCTGTTGTTGACCTTTTGTCCATCTATTCAGCTCTTACAAGAAAAACAGCACCTGCTATACAGAGCTGAGAAACAGCCTTTAATTCACTACACTAATGTAATGACATCTTTGTACATTTCCACTGATGGAAGGTAATTATAGTGCACGTATAAAAACACATTAAGACGCTGTCAAGATTGAGCTGCAGCAAGAAATAATCTCTCTGTGGTGATTTGTGTTAGATAAATGTCCAAGAGGATATGCCGACCTCAGAGGAATCTGAGATCGCTTTGACAAGTCGTGGCTGACGTAAGTAAACACATTCCTACCTGTTTTCAGCGGGATCAGCTCGATTTAATCTCAGTCATGAAGGAACAACCAGGCTGTCTGAAGGAAGCAGCTGAGGTTTTTACCTCATGTAAGGCAAATGCTGCAGAAAATACCTCCTCTCTCCTATTACACGCTTAACAAAGAGTGTTTGAAAAGGAAGTAAAGACCTCCATGGCATGCTTCATAATCATGGATTACCATCCACCCACCCATCCATAAATCTGTCCATCCACCCATTCTCCATTCAGTCCATTCAATCCTCTATACCCTGGTATGTTTCTATTGGAATATTCCAGATTGCTGAAAGAAAGAGAAATCTGATTACAAATTCTAAACACCTGATTACAGCTAAAAAAAAGTTATGTAAAGTCTCAGTTATAAGTTAGTTTTGATTTACAGATCACAAGTAGCTCTTTAAAATTATATTTGACCAATTAAGATTTGTACAGTTGCACATTTCATAATGTTATTCTCATCATCTCTTTTCTGTTTTGCCTCCTACTCTACATCGGCCTCCTCCACCACTGCTCTGTCCTCCCTCATCTACACCTCATCCTCCTCTTGAACTCAAGTCGTGGCTCTAAAACAATAAAATGTGCATTAAAATGATGACTTATTCTCCATTTATTCTATTTATTTATCATTGTCAGTCATGCAACACTCCCGTCTCCAGACAGCTGACAACAAGTCGGCTATAACCAAAACAGATTATGCCAGCTAAGGCTTGAGTGTCCTAAAATATGTTAAAATGTAGTGTGTACAAAACGGTTTTTATACACCAACAGTCGTAGCATCACGCCAGTTGGCCATGGCTGTTATGGGGTACAGATGGTTAAAGAATTTTTTTCAGAAATGATGGCAAACCTCTTTCTGGGACAAGAAGGGACTATTCCATCAGTGTTGTTTTGCCAATCTTCAAGCTTGGACATGGTGTGAAAAGAATTTCCACCTTGCGTTACTCTTGTGAATGCATATTGTGTTGGAAAACGACAGATCGTTTTGGGAACCACCTCAGAAACCTCACCCCATCTCTGAGGCTGAGCCCAGACCTAGAAGCTTGTTTGCTGCTTGCATCTCCCTCTTTAGTTCGGTACCCACAGCCTGTGGGCAGAGCTGAGGATCAATCAGACAGTAAATTCACATCTTCTCCTAAATGCTCAGCTCTCTATTCAGCAGAACAGACTGGTACAGTGTCCGCCTCACCTCAGACATGGTACTACTGTACTTAGACATGCCGGTTAGTAAACACTCATGAAGTCTTCTTAGTATCCTTCATGTTCTGGGGTTGTTTCTTTTTGATTAATTGGATTGATGTTTTTAGCATCATTTCAGTGAGGACCACCTTACTTAAAGGAATATTGTTATTTTTGTCTACTGAAATCTATATTTGATGGCATGGCTCGGCTCCTGCCTGGGACCTCCTCATTCTCGCTATATTATGATTATTGTCTTGATGGAGCGATGTGGTTGGAGGTGTGATACAAAGCCACGATCTGGCCCACCAACTGTATGCTGGCTGGCATTGAAATCAGCTGATCTACTGGGATTGTGGCTGAGTATGATTCCGTTGATAACACATTTAAATGCCTCAGTCCCAATGCTTGTCTCTCTGCTCAGCCATACCTTAAATCCACTCATAGGTAAACTGAATGAGACTGATGATCTGATTACAGCTCAGCGCTCTTCTGGGAAACTTCCCTATCCTGGTCCTGAGTTCAGCAGTGTTAGGCAGGAGTATTTATTCAAGGCTTTAATGCTTTGCCCGACTGGTTTAAAATTTGTAGTGCTTTATAACTACTGGTTATTTGGTGATTGTAAAATGTGTAAAGTAAAATGATGTCATACTTTGTTTCCTTTTCTGTGAAAAACATGCTGTTAAAAGGCTACCGGACATTAATTGTTTTACACAGCTGTTTAAAGTTCCCTGACAATGACCATTAAAAATGTATTTTGTGTGTAATAAATAAAGTTCCTCTGTTTAGAACCTTCATTTTTCTTGGAGTTTTAACTCTTGTGGCATCTTGAAAAAGGATGTCTTGCTTGTCTCAGCATGATAGTTCATGTAAGAAGCTGATCTTGTGGTGGGGCTTTCCAAGCAGAACATTCAGAGCTACTAACCCATGAAAAATGAGGATGAAACGTTGTTTTTGTTGTTGTTGTTGTTGTTTTTTGTTTTTGTTTTTTCTTTTCCTTTTGTGTGTGTGTGTGTTCGTGGGAGTAGCTCTGAGTATTGCTCAGTGTGACATTCAAGAGTGAACTCATTGACTGGAGATGAGACCACTCCATTATTAGTTGTCATATTATTACTCATAATGAGTAGTTTGTCTGTTGCAAGAGCAAGGGAAGCACGGCAGTGTTATTTATTGAAGGCACATCGCACTTTGGCATCTTGAGTGTTTGCTTTTTTTTTTGCCAGTCACTGTGTGATAAATTACTCTGCGCTTTTAATTCATTCTTTTACCTTAGAGATTTGTTTTTTGTGGGTTTTTGTGTGTGTGTTTGTGTGTTTTTCCCAGCCCCACAGCAGTAAAGATTATTTTCTGGGTCTGGAAATTGAAGCTGAAGCTAAATTACCTTAAACCTGCATTCATTTAAATGGCCAACAGGGGGCGACTCTTGTGAAATAATTTTGTCTGTAATTATCTCACTTCAGTGCTGGTCTCGGTTAGGCCACCTGACCCTCGTAATGTCTTATTTCAAATAACCAGGATGCCAAAATTAAGTTTTAAAACCCACATCTACAAGCCAGTGGGTCTTCCTACGATGAATTCGTCCAAGCCTCATTTGTTTTTTTGTACATTCCTTTCACCATAAAAGTCTATAAACGTTATGCAGCATGTGACTGCTCTAGATAAAATGGCTTAAATGTACGTAAATCAGCTTAAAACAAATTATCTAAATTTCAATTTAGATTTTAGAAATTTCAATGCAGGATTAAATTTTTCTTAATACAGTAAAAATGTAATATTTAAATTATTAAATATATTATTACATTCACTGTACATAAACTGTTAAAAGGTAAGGACTATGGTTGCTGATTTTTTTTTATGTAGTTTGTAATCCATGAATGAAAATGTTAAAAAAAACAACCCTGAATTAGTTATATAAAACTAATTCAGTTAAAAATATGCACAATTATTTATCAAATTGGTGAAAAATTATTTATTATTATTATTATTATTATTTTAGTGGTTCACAAAAAATCGTATGTATTTTATTAGTGATAAATGTATATATTAATAACAACATATGGCTTTTATTCATGATTTTTATGTATTTTTGCATTTTTTTAAAAGAAAAAGAACATACACAACATTAGAATTTCTTTTTCTTTTAATAGAAAAAAAATTAGCCAATAATCTGAAGTTCTTTGTAGAACCAAGCAAAGATATCAAGGTTTTTTTTTTAGTTTTTTTTTTAATGTTGATATTGACATGAAAGTAACATAAAAGACATTTTCTCTAAAGATTGGGTAGTGACACCTATACCTATAGAAGAGTCAGAAATATAAGCTAATGTTCTTAAAATCCTTATTTTTTCCATTTTGAATAATGGCTGGTGAAAAAAATAACAGAAACGGACTCCTCTCCTCAAGCCTGGAGTGTCACTGTGCTGTTAATGGTGCTAATAAAAGTCTGCCACTGCTGTTCAAACTGAACTGGAGTAAAAGTAAAATGTTGGGGGACCTTGAGCACATCTTGCCAGTGTGTAACAGCAGGTTGCTGTTAGTGTGTTCTTACACTGCTTGCGCTTGTTTCATTTGCTGTGTGCTGTGTGTGGATTTTGTGTGTCTTACTCTGCCCTTTGTACTCTCTTTTTAAGAAGTCGGCCCCCAGGAGGAAATGTGCAGCCTGTAAGATTGTTGTTCACACCGGCTGCATGGAGCAACTAGAAAAGGTAACACACACACACACACACACACACACACACACACACACACACACACACACACACACACACACACACACACACACACACAC